TGACAGCCATGCGTTGTTGCTGCGACTGCATCTCATCGTGATATTGCTGTGCCGAACCCGGTTGACTTCCCGTTCGGAGTATCTCGCTGAGCTTGTTGCCACTCGGTCCCGGCGATGCCATATTATTGTTGTTATTATTGTTGTTGTTATTCAGAAGACCGGTGCCTGCGCAAAAATCTGCTCTCGTCAGTATGTACAGGTCGATGAACGGGCAGGGGTTTTCACCCACATTTTACTATTCTAACTAGGTAGCATATATCATTCCGCGTCGATATATAAATTGGCACGCTAAAGCGTTAAAAAGGCGACATCCCAAAGTGGAAACCGCCCATAATAGTAGACCGTAGTGAGCGCCGTTTACATGAGAGAATTATTACTCAGACCAGAAATTCGTAAATATTTTATTTCGACTCAAGCATATATATTCATATATATTCTAACTTACGTGTACTACAATAAATTCACTAATGATACTTCACAACAGTTATGTCATTAACGAAATCAGAGAAAAAAAGGTGAATAACGGCGAGATTACAAACTGTGCTCGGGCAAATGCGACAATATTATATCTATTATATCTAGATACTTGATAGACGTTCGAGTAGTAGACGTAGAACAAGTATCGTAGCGTACCAGGTTCACTACCGGCCGACGACAGTCTTCCGTTGCCGCTACTGCTATCCGAATGGGCCGACGGTGACGGGCACATTGGTGGTTGTTGCAAATTTTGCGGTCCTCCAGATTGACTTCCTCCCAACACGCCTAAACCTGCTCCTGTACAGCGTAAGGACGTTATATTAGAATACCGTTCAGTCATTGGCGTCGTGCAGTGTCGTACTTTCTATGCGACGATTTCGACGCCACTTAATTCCTTGACAATTAGAGAAATATGTTTATCTGTTATACCTAAACTTGAACTCGCGAGAATCTCCCTTTCCCGCCTCTCAGCGGCCGCGCGGCTTAACACGTACTGCGCCGCGAATTGATGTTTCGGGTCCATCCTCATGTGCTCCATGTGGCTCAGGAGACCTTAACACCAGAGGAAAACGAGCATGGTCACAGTATAGAAAGATAATCATATGGTCGCGCGTATATGGACGATAACTGTCACTTGTTATAAACGTAAGTTATACTCCACAGAAAATCATAAGTTTATAGCATAGAATGAAAATGAATCGTGTTTACTTTCAACTGTGTTTACTTCGAACTCCGAGCTACTGTTGGGACCCGATCGGCCCATCGATTCACGTTTACGTGGGCTAAATACTTACCGCTCTCATGAGTGAAGACGGCTTGGCACACCGAGCACGGCCACATCCTGAGGCTTGTGCTAAGTTGACTGGTCTCAGGATGGCAGGCTAGATGCTTCCTAAGGCTACCCTCGTTGACGTAGTGCTTCCCGCACACTGGGCACGGATGGTTGGCGGTCCGTCGCTTCGCTAGGTAAACCCCGGCAATGGAGGTTGTGCAGTCAGCGGAGGGAACAATAGGGCGACACAATTTCAAGGTCAATGCCAAGCAGGATAAAGCGTCCCAAGGAACGAAAGCCGCCTCCTCCTCACCCAACTCCTCCACCATCGTTATGTTTTCTCACATCTCTCTCTCTCTCTCTCTCTTTCTCTCTCTCTCTTTCTCTCTCTCTCCCTCTCTCTCTCTCTCTCTCTCTCTCTCTTTTTCCTCCCCCACCTTATTTCTCACACGTGCACGCGCGCGCGTACGTACGCAAAGATTCCGGTCGACCTCGAAGGCGAAGGGAGACTTTACGGACGCGGATAGCCAAGGACCAAGAGAGAGCACTGACCTCGGGCACGCAGAGTACTCGTCGGCCGGCGCCGTCGCAACCGCGCTGCTGACTCCCTTTCACGAGCAAGGTCGCTGGCCCAAAAAGCCAGGATACACACAGACGTACTCGCGCGCGTTGCACATACGCAAACGTACAGAGAAAAAAAAATATATACATAAAATTCATTGAAAAGGTAATTTATATATGAAAACGTCCATTATTTCTTACGTCGAACAGACATGATAAAAAGATCATCATTCGTCTTGTCAATCTTAGTCGATTTTTTACTCTCATCTAAATCCTTGCGATTTTAAACAACGATAACGTTACATGTTTCATGTATATTGGCAATACAGTGCTTCACATTTCATTAGCTTTCACATTTCAAATGCCGACTATGTCGATCACTGTGACAGACCACCGTGTCAGCACTCACAATCAAGAATAAAACGCCGATTCCTCGCTTTAAAGTTGAACGAAGAAGCAGAGTAGGTTGACTTTTGTTCTCTCTGTACGTCCGCCAGTCTGCATACGTATCGCGCACGCATGTGTCAAGGCACGCATAGAGGTCGAACGAGACACCCTCGAAGCATCGTGTATCTGTATTAGCGAGTAGTATCCAAGTATTAGTCGGCGAGTGTGCCAAATGCTACACGCTTTTCCCGCCCAGGCGAAAACAGTACGAAGAAGTGAACAAGGACAATGTATGCGTATCGCCCGCGCCAAAGCAAGTTTTTGGGATGGATGCGAAACGTACTTAAAGGCTAAAGAACGAACCACCCTTCGTGTCTCGACGAGCGGTTGCTCCACCTCTCTCTTAGTCTTACTCACGATTAACGTCGCCGCTCTCGTGTCTATGTCGGTCTCTCTCTTTCTCTATCTTGGAACCTTTAAGGGGCTCTTCGCGATTCTAGTTAAGGATTTTGGCTAAGAATTAAATGCGGTTAGAATAAACAGAGTTAAGTCTTTTGCTTAGAAAGTTAATGTGCGAGCAAGATTTGGTGTTAAGTTTGTTGATTAGTCAGTAAGGAATGACACGGTCAAGGTTTTGTTCTCAAGCTCGTTTCATGCAACGATGCACTCCGCTTACGAGACTCCACGATCGGATTCCAGTTAATCGATTGGTTATGGTTAACGAAGATTAGTAGATGCGCGAATGAAGAGAAATGATAAGCAACGCACGGGGAAAGGAGAGAGACATAGACGACCGGCCGAGAGGGCGGTTGATACGCGATTTTTCAATACTTACTGGCAACTCCGGAAGCGTTTGGGTCCTTGTGGGTGTGCTTCATATGCTCCATCAACGCCTCACCGCCGAGGAAGAGTTTGTGGCATACTGGACAGCTGGTTGCGTTCGGACCGCCGATCAGGGCGGCGTGTTGCTGGAACACAACACGCTGTTGCAACTCCTTTTTTGAGGGCCCGGAAGTACCGGAAGCAGGCACACGCGGCGCACGGCGGTAGAGAGCCGACCCAGAGAATACCACCACAGAGTTGCGAACCAGAAGCGCAGGACAGGCAGGGCACAGAACAGAACGATTGACCAGTGAGAGTTAAGGCACCAATAAACCGCCGCCACCACAAACTACTCCTTTGCACAGGGAATTCATGTCGAGTGTGTCTGGTAGGAACTTTGTGGTATCGCGCCCTGGCTGGGTTTCCAGTCGGTCAAGTACGATTGAAAAGAATCGAAATAACGAAACAGAAAAAAAAGACAAAATTTTCTCTCTTTCGAGGTATACTGACATCTCCGTTTAATAATGATCCATTTATTGCCGCAATTTATTCATTGCTTATCAAACGAAAAATAATATTTTATATTTTATTTTGTTTCTGAAGTGTCTTTGTATAGATTGCAAAATTAATTAAATGATTTAATTTTTAATATTGCTTTAAACAAAAATTATATCTGTTTTTGGCAAATGGCTAGATTGCGGCAAGTGAATCGTCGGCGAAGATACTGTAAAGATCATAGCTAGCTCTTGGAACATTACGGGATAGGAATAAGGTGAATCTCGTGTAAATCTTGATATTATTGGAATTACAATCGTAATCTCCAACGTATCGCTATTGTGAGGAATATACTGTGCCCATATATGTTTTTCTCAAATACACATTATGGTATTCTAATTTGGTAATCTCGAACAATTTGTGATATATGAATGTAAAAATAGAGATGTATAAGAAGAGTCTTGACCGATCAAAAACATTGTCTTTAACGCCAGATCAGAGCACTCGGTTCGAGTAGATGGAGAGGAATTTAGGGAGTACAATGATCGTGGAACTTGAAGCGAAGCCTAGACAGACAAATATGTGGAAGCGTGGGGTCCAGAGAACGATCGGAGCGGATTAATCCTTAACCGCGATTAGGGATTTCATCGACTAATGCTGCCAGGCATCGGCCTCATCTCGCATATGAATGTACGGAACCTAAAGGCCGATGCCAGACGTTGCGTTGCGAAAACAAAGCGAGCACTTTCATCGACCTTGGACCTCCGATCGACCCCGTGCGACCTCACCCATGAACGGGAATGCGAAGCATGGAATGACTAGCTTGTACCATACATCAGTTTTAACTACATGGTCGTTGCTAGCACATCTTTGGCTCGCATCTGCATTCCTTTTGTTTTTTCTCTCTTTTCTTTGCTTTGCAAAATAAGCTCTAACCCGCGGTTTATTTTACCGAATTTATTGTGCTACCAACGGCCATATTAAAATTAGGATTAAAAATGAAACTATAAATGAAATTCGACGTCCTCTCAGTACCAAATAGAATGACTCTCCCCCCCTCCTTCATTTTTTGGTCACGCGGTAAGGAACCGATTCGTACCGATTGCATTATCCTGATGTCTTTTTTTGCCTCCTCTGTTGCGTCCCCCCTTTTTATTCTCTCTTTTCTTTTTTCTCTCTTTTTCTATCTGAACACGCGAAGGTTGCTTGCACGCATACAAGGCAGTAGGTGTACACGCGCTCGAGGAAAAACATGGCGGCGGCCGTACCTTGTTCGAAAGAGTATTTAAAACGGCAATACGAGAGGAGGAAAAAGAAAAAGAAAGAAAGAGAAGGTTGTGAACGGGCAGGAACGGGCTAAAACGAGACCGGATGGCAATGACCCCAAAGAGTTTCGGGGCCTCTCGTTCCTTTCTTTCTTCCTGTTCTTGCTTCTCCAATTCGCGACTTCGTCTTCTTTTTTCCTCATTCTTTTTCGCCTCTCCTTTCCCACACATCTCGTCCTACCTCTTTCTCTGTCGATCGTCTTTCTTTTTATTCCGGACCTGGGACAATCGCGAACGCGTTGAGGCAACGAACACGGAGCAGGCAAAGGCTAAAAACAAGTTCTGAACGGCAATGACCTCGGAATTTTTTCGATAGGGCCGCCTTTTTCTCACACACCTTCTATCTCTCCTCTATTATTGTCGTGATTTTCCGCTTTTCGCATCTTAAACGTGAATTTATTTTTGCGCACTCGTCTTTATAGATTTCTTCTCTCCGTTTCGAGAGAGAGAGGATGTATTTTCTTTATAAGTACATATACACGCTCATCTAAAGCTTCTTCGTACTTCCTCCTTTCCTCGACATTTTTAACGACGTGTCAGATGCACAATCCTGATTTTCTGCCGGCTCTTCCCGCTCATAAACAAGCGAGGCGACATACCACGAGACTAGGGGAGGGCAGGAGAGGGGGAGGATTCCAATCAGATGATAATCGCCTTGTCGTATCCATTTCAGTTTCCTCCTTCCGGTTTTCCTCCCGGCTCCGTTTCGCGTACACGCGTATTCTCGCGCGTGTTTCTTCTCACTTGGCTCGGCTCCACTCTTGTCCCGCGATAAACTTGAGAGTGGGTGGCCGACCGCCGGCATACTTATGCGCCTTCTATCTCCTTTTTTATCCCGAACCTGGGGCAGCCGCGAGTGCGTTGAGAAGACGGCAACGAGGACGGCGTCGTTGGCCATGCCACCGCCACCGCCACCGCCACCGCCGCCGCCGCCGCCGCC